ATAAGATGTGCTATATTTATGGGATAAAGTGCTCAATATCAGAGAAAGAGCGTGTGTAAATATAAAAATGAACATAGCAGTCAACACTAAGAGGCGACACCCCCTGTTTTATATATGCAATATCAGGCCACGAGTGCTGTTATTTTTCTCGGCTATTTATATATATACGGGTCAGTGGTGCATTGTGGGTAGTCTATTCTGGCCTTTACTGACCCGTATATATATAAATAGCCGAGAAAAATAACTGGCCGCGTGGCCTTTGACGATTGCATATAGCATGAAACAGACTGTCGCCTCTAAGTGTTGACTTCTATGTTCACTTTTTATATATATATATATATATATATATATATATATATATATAAAAAATAAAACAGAACTGAAACACTACCGAGAGTTATAATTAGCGGACACAGTAGACAGTTATTTCTTGTTTCCTGTTCAAGATTAGGTTTCCAGTTGTTTCTAAAGTCTACTTCAACGCTTTAGTTCTAAGGTCTACGCCTAAGCTCTGATTTTTTATTTAATATTCATTGTTCCCCAACAGGAGTAGATAGATTCGCCTATCGTCCGCTTCACACTCCTCCCCGATCTTTTGAACAGGAGTAGAGGTTTACTATTTGTTTCCAGTTTATGTTTGGGTTTCCGGTTCCTTCTAAAGTCTACTTCAACTCATCTTTACGTCTAACGTCTTCGCCTAAGCTCTGAAATTTTATTCATTATTTATTTTTATTTTTAAATATTTTTTTTTTTTTTGAATAGAAGACAGGTTCGTCTATCGTCCGGTTCACACTCCTCCCTGGTCTTTTGAACAGGAGTAGTGGTTTATCCTTTGTTTCTGTTTAGGGTTGGGTTTCCGATTCCTTCTAACGTTCCATTCTCTTTCACTTCTAGTAGCATCTTGCGTCTTAGTGGTATTATCGCCTTCCTTGGGGTGAAGTGATTAAAAAAGGATATGAAGATGACACCGTAGGAACACAGAAAGGAAACTGAAGAGACGCTTAGTGAAGGGTAGTAAAGCAAAGCGCGATGCATCACTGGTAAGAAGATAGAATGCATGGTTTGTCAGCAATGAGAACATTCCAAGATGCGAACTACAAATTGGAATCACCAGGTATGAAAAGTTCAATATCAGGAAATTGTTTTAACAGGGGACAGCAAATGTAACAATGGAATCTGCAGAGGATATGAATACCGAAAAATGCCTTCCAAAAGTTAAGCAAAGTATTAATAAATAGGAAAAATTTCATTGGAAACAAAGAAAAGAGTACTGAAGTGTTATGTAACATTGGTATTCCTATATGGAAGTGAATGCTGAACCATCTAAACATAGATAGAGGAGAAATTTGAGGCAACAGAAATATGGCTCTACAGAAGGATGCTGAGAATGACATAGACGAAACACGTGGGTAATGACAAAATTTTAGAGAAAATTGAAACAAATCAGTTAATTATGCATAGCATCAGGAAGGGACAGTTGAAATTTCCATGGCGTATAATGAGGAAAGATGGCACGGAGAATTTGTCACTCACAGGGCATACGGAAGGCCAGCGAACCGGTTGTAAGATTATTCGAAAATAATATTATATATTAATAGCCGGTGGTCTAGGTAAAATGTTAGTTATGCTGCTTTCGTGTCCGCTCAGTGAAAATCTAATAGACATGTAAATGTGGTAAATCTTCAGGTCATAAATTTGATAGGTCTTCCATTGGATTTTTGGGGTTGCAGAAACCATAATATGATTGATGATATTAGAGTGAAAAAGCACCATACTTCTGAAGAGAAGTATGATGGAAATATCTTAATAAATAAATAAATAAATATTTTCTATTAAGTTATCAAAATGGTTTTAATTTATAGAACCGGTTCCTGGAAATGTAGGATGGCAACACTATATATATATATATATATATATATATATATATATAGATAGATAGATAGATAGATAGATAGATATTTGGTCGGAAAAACAATATAATTTGAAAATATTTTAAGCATTCAAAAACTTTATTGAATTTTTTGTTACTTACGAGGACGCTTGAGGAAATGTTACAAAATTACTAACAAATTTTAAATTTACTACAAAAAATTTTAAAAATTTGCTCTTTTCTGATAATGCCGTGTATGGGCTTCCGTATTTACAAAAATAGGAACGTTTATATACACACACACACACACACACACACACAAATAAATAAATTTTTTCTAAATAATGGGATCGCTTATATGTATGTATGTGTGTGTGTGTGTGTGTGTGTGTGTGTGTGTGTGTGTAGATAGATACACGCGCATATATATATATGAATATTTTCGTTTAGATGGATAGACAAATAGATAGATAGATTAATGCATAGACGCCCGCACAATATATATATATATATATATATATATATATATATATATATATATATATATATATATATATATATATATATATATATATATAAGCTACAAATTAATACAAAATTAAAAAAATTAAATTATTCTAATTAAATAATTAAAAAAATGAAAACAATTTTTGTAATAATTCATTATTCATCGAAATTTTTTTTCTTAAAACAATAGTGTCCATAATATATTTTATTCATAAAAGCAATTAAAAGCTTTTCAAATTAAATAATGTCTTAGTTTTATTGAATTTTTTATTTTACGATTCACAACAGATTTTTTTTATAACTTAGTGTCCTGTTTGACCATAGAAATGTGATAATTTAAATTCTCCCAGTAACTAAAAAAAATAAATTTCTCAACATTTCATAAAAATAAATGTGCATGGTGGAGGGTAATTGATGGAAAAAAATAAATAAAATTTACCATGATTTCCTAAAAAAAAGAATGAGAATAAGTCCTGAAAGTTTTATTAAAATCCAACAAATATCTGATTTTTGCTAGAATTTCAAAAACAGTGACACTAAAATTTCCCATAAAAATTTATGGGTCCACATCGACGCCAGAAAAAAACAAAACTTTTAACCAAAATTTCGAAGGATCTAAAAAGGATTAAAAAGTTATTTTTACATTCCAAATCCTTTCCTTTTAATAACACAAACATTTTGATGATAAACCTTTGTTTTCATTAAGTTTTGAGAGTCTTTTCATCATGTATGCATATATTTCAGTGAATGTTTGGAGGTAACTATTCATATATATTTCTTCTGCATATTTTACTTTCATATAAAATACCTAGATATATACATACATACATACATAAATATATATATATATATATATATATATATAACATACTTATGTTATAAATTTTTTTTTATAAAAGTAATTATATATATACATGGATATACATTCATATATATCTGTGTGTGCATCTATCTATCTATCTATCTATCTTTCTATCTTTCTAAATGAAAACATTCATATATATATATGTTAAGAAATGGACGAGGTCCGACAATTTATTTATTAAAGACATTTTTATTTATGTTTAACGTTATATATACGCTGACGTGCCTTGACCACTCGGCCACCATGAACCGAGTGGTCAAGGCACGTCAGCGTATATGACGGTTCCGTATAGGATGCAGGTTCGAATCCTGTCTATGAACGAATATTTTCTATGAAAATCTCTCGGACATTCAGGCCGGTAAATGTTATTTAATACTGTTTATCATAAACAGAGCATTTGCTTAAATACTTGTATCTATAAAATAACAACGTTAAACATAAATAAAATGTCTTTAATAAATAAATTGTCGGACCTCGTCCATTTCTTAACATATGACGTCATTTGTTTACATTCGATACGCCAGAGCAGTTATGAATGTACGAGATTCATGGAAGATTATAGTTTATAACAGTAAATTCGACCTTGTCTACCATAAGGTTCATGGTGGCCGAGTGGTCAAAGGCACGTCAGCGTATATGACGGTTCCGTATAGGATGCAGGTTCGAATCCTGTCTATGAACGAATATTTTCTATGAAAATCTCTCGGACATTCAGGCCGGTAAATGTTATTTAATACTGTTTATCATAAACAGAGCATTTGCTTAAATACTTGTATCTATAAAATAACAACGTTAAACATAAATAAAAATGTCTTTAATAAATATATATATATATACATTAAGAATTAGACAAAGTCCGACAATTTATTAAAGACATTTTTATAAAAAAAGAATGTTAAACATAAAAATGTCTTTAATATATATATATGTATGTATCTTTATATATATATATACATACACACACATATATATGTATCTGTATATATATACACTCACACACACACACACACACATATATATATATATATAGATAGATAGATACATACATACATACATACATACATTATCTATATTTCTGAGATGAGGTATTATGTACATTATTTACATTATTCGGACTATTGTCCTCATCTTTGTCGCCATATTTATTACAACGACACATGGCTCAAGGACGCATGTCACAGTGGATAAAGGCGTTGGTTAGATCCAGTGACAGGACCCAAAAAGTGTGAGTTCAATACCCGGTTAAGGCAGTGGAGAACTTTCAGAGGGAAATTATTAGGAGATATCTAATAACTGACGTCCATTAAACATCCCACGTGGGACTAGAACAGTCTACCCCAGTGAGCAAAATAAAAGGGTTAAGTTCGACATTCCAACCAAACGTTGTAATAAATATGGCGACAAAAGATGAGGACAATGTAAATAAGATACATACATATATATATATATATATATATATATATATATATATATATATATATATATATATATATATATATATATATATATATATACGTCTATGCATTAATCTATCCATCTATTTGTCTATCCATCTAAACGAAAACATTCATATATATGTGCACGTGTATGCGTGTATCTATCTACACACACACACACACACACACACACATACACATATATATATAATTATTTGTATAAACGAAATCAGAAGCAAGTCATTATATTTGTTTCCTGCATTATTCTATTCTATATGAACGTACTCAAGGGATCTATTTATCCACATACAAGTTTTTTGTGTCAAAGAGAGAGGAAGGAGTAGAAAAGAGCAATGAGAGAGAAAAAGAAAGAAAGAAAGAAGAAGAGAGAGAGAGAGAGAGAGAGAGAGAGAAATAAACAAACAGACGCGCGAATATGTTTTGTCAAATAAGACTCGATATTGATTTTGAATAGAAATTGTTAGCAGTGTCTTCTACATTTTATTTATTTATTTACATCAATTCTATTATTTTTCGCTCCTTCAGTAAATTTCCTCCAGCATTTATTTCTCGGGCAACAATCTAATGTTATTTGTTAAATCCCTTTCATTTTGCTATCTGCTGCCTCGCCTTATTTAAAATTGAAATTTAAGGATTTTAATCGTTTTATCTTCTTGCGTTTTTACAAGGCTAAAATGAGATCTTATTGTCAGATGAAAAATATAAGAAGATGTCATATCACACACATATATATATATATGCATATATAAGAATAAGAAAAATATACAATATATAATATATATGTATATAGAATGGAAATGTAAAACAAAAGTATTTCGAAAATTGTTCAATAGTTTATGTCTGAATTTAAAGTCAATATAAAGTTAACAGAAACTGAATAAATCAATACCGAGAAAACATTAAATGCATAATTGAAAACAATATAAGATTATAACAGTACTTATTCTTTATCATATATAATCTTTACACACACATACATACATACACATATATGCATATATATATGCACACACGAATACACACACACACATATATATTCATACACACATACATACATATATATATATGCATATATATATATATATATATATATGAACACATAAATACATTCCACACACATATATATACATATATATATATATATGCACATATATATATGCATACACATACATACATACACACACACATATATATATGCATATATATATATGCACACACATACATATATATATATATATGCATATATATGCACACATACGTACATACATATATATATGCATATATATATGCACACACATACATACACACACACACACATATATATATATATATATATGCACACACACACACACACACATATATATATATATATATATATATATATATATTACATCCAATAGAAATTAAGATTAATTCTAGGTAAAATAACGTTTAAACAAATAAATTAATAAAGTGTAACCCGGATATAAGAGAGTTGTCGGGAGCGGAGAGGAAGTCTCTTATATCCGGGTTTCTCTTATATCCGGGTTTGGTCTATTTTATATATATTAACACAGGGACTAGAGAAAATATCTCTTATATCCGGGTTTCTCTTATATCCGGGTCTCTTATATCCGGGTTACACTATATGCCGGATTAATAAATGAAAAATGCATTCCTCAATCTTGTTTTTCCTTACGTTAGGATACGAAATAGCAGAAAATTGGGGCAAATGTTCAAAGCACTATTCGGGCTACGTTTGATCAAGAAGTCTTACGTGGCTGAGAGATCAAGGCACGTATGACGGTTTCTCCTAAGGGAAGGCAGGTTCGAGTCCTGATGCAGGGTGCGTATTTTTTCAAACAAAAGTTCTCGAATATCCAGGCCGGTAAATGGAAATAAATAAATATACTGTTTAATAAATAAAGACGGAGCACCTATTCAAATATGTGGGTCCATTAGAAATAATATTTAAACAAATAAATTAAAAAAATATGTCGGATTAGTAAATGTAAAATCCATTCCTAATAATATGTATGTATGAATAATGTGCAAAATTAAGTGAACCCTTAAGTTAATATTTTAAATGTCTCTTTTTGTTTTTCCAGATAATCAACAAATCTTAATTAAACAATACATCCATTAAGAAAAACCTTTAAATGGATTGCAACCCCTTTCAAATATTTTTATCAAGCTAGAATAAAAGCATTAATTAAAGATTAAGATGTGCAAAAATAAGTGAGCCCTTACATTTACACACTGTATTTTTGTTTTACATGGTTGCCGGTGCAAATCATTTTTTGTACACATGTACAACTCAAAATGACACGTGTTCACCTTTTTTGGTAAGCTGTGTATACTGTAGTCAATCAATATAGCTCATTGTGTATGTAAATGTGTCCAGTTCGAGACTAAATTAAAAAAAATATATATGTAGACAAAGATCAAAAGAAATTCGCATAGTTGAAACCTATAATGATGGAGAAGACTACAAAACATCTATCAAAACGATTCGGAGTGTACTTCTTCACCGTACAATAAATTATTTATCAATGGAAGGCTTTTGGTATGACGACATCACAATCAAGAAGTGTCCGTCAACGAAAAATGACAGCAAGAGCAATTAGACATCTAGTTCGGCAAGCCCAGGGCAAATCCTGCTGTGCCTTTTGTGGTTCTCCAATGGTGTCCAATGTCGGAATCAGTGTGCATACATCTAGAGTGCGACAAAGTTTGAACAATTCCAATTTTCATGGCAGAATACCTAAAAAAAAAACAAAAAAAAAACACTGCTTACGAAATAGCACAAGCATGCTCATTTCATCTATGCCAAAGCTCATATTAATAAGCTAGAATCATTCTAGCAACAGGCATTATGGTTAGATGAGGCCAAACTAGATCTTTCTGGGAGAAACAATAGGTGGCATATCTAGTAAGATCCTAATACGGCTTTTGAAGAGAAGAATTTGATATCAACCATAAAACATAGCGATGAGAGCAGTATAATTTTGGGGGTGGGGGTGCTTTGCTGCAGCTGGAACAGGCAAAACAATACGCACTGATGGCACAAAGGACTTTGCAAGATACCAAGCAATTCTGAACGAAAGTGTCTTGTCCTTAGTTCAAAAATTGGGTTTAGGTCGGGGCTGGAACTTTTAACAGAACAATAAGCTGAAGCAACAAAGCAAATCAACAAAAGAATGGGTTCGTAAAAAGAAATTTAGTCTTAGAATGGCCTAGTTAGAATCCAGATCTAAACCCAATTGAAAATCTGTGCTTCAAGTGAAAAAGGAGTTACCAAATATTAAATTTAAGGGTTCACTTATTTTTGCGCATCTTAATTTTTAATTAATATTTTTATTCCAGATTGATCAATTTTTTGGAAAGTAGTTTGTACTTGATTAAATAATTGTTTTTCTTCATGAATATTTAATTCAATTATGATTTGTTGATCATTTGGAACAAAATTGACAATTTGTAAAAATATTATCTTAGGGGTTCACTTACTTTTGAACAGCACTGTACAATCATTATCATTCAAAAACACCGGACATCCTGACCACCACCTCACTAGTCATTCTTAAGTATGTCGAATACTTCATGTAGGGAAGTTTAACAGTAATTTTTAATGTTATATCTCTTCCAGACGTAGGCGCACATGGCTCCCCACAAATTCCTTTTCTTTATTATTTGTCGTTTCTCATTGCCTTATCCAAGGTTTTGTATTCGGAATTTTCCTACTCCTATACTGACTGCCATCCAAGGCTGAAGTGGTAATCTACCTGTTATTTAACCCATATCTGGGGGAGAAAATATGGTTTCATGCCTTTTCCAAGAGAGTTAGTGCAAAAGTGAATGCAGCAGATGCAACCTAAATTTGACCTCTGAGTTACGAGACATATACAGTTCCACCACCTGAATCAGGACACTCACAAAGTTCCACCACTTTTTTAAATCAATTCAGTCCAAGCAAAGCGATAATACCATTAAGACGTAAGGGGCGGGGGCTACTGGAAGTGAAAGAGAAGGAAAAGACTTTAGAAGGAACCGGAAACACAGTTCTAAACAGGAAACAAGGGATAAACCACTACTCCTGTACAAAACACTGGAGAGGGGTGTGAATCGGACGGTAGGCGAAACTATCTACTCCTATTAGATGAGAAGAAAAAATCCTAAGCTGAATCGCAGACGTTAGAAGTATGGAGATGAAGTAGACTTTAGAAGGAACCGGAAACCCAATTCTAAACATGAGACAAGGACCACATGAGATAGGAAATGCATCCAATTCCACCACATGAGTTAGAACACTCATAGAGTTGCATTACTTATGTCAGGACACACGCATAATTCTCAAACCGAAGTCAGGACTGTTGTGGCCCTGTTAAGGCCAGAAATAAAGACACAAAGAGAGGAATCGAGTTAAACAAATATATTAACAGAAAACAGTAAACAAGAGTGTTACAGCAAGAATATTAGGTCCGACTATGAAAGCTGACTACTGGAAACTTCACCCCACAAAAGGCAGTACCTGCTCCTATTTATAGCTGGTAGAGTCCATGCCTGCGTGGGTAAATGACCATAATAGGACATTCATACAATTCTAGTAGCTGAGTCCGAATGATAGACTCTCATGTCGTTTCCTACATATGAGGGTCTAGAAGCTCAGTAGTTAAAACCAAACAACTAGATTAACTCTATATTATAGTGGTGAGGCTTGTGAAGAACTAAATATAGAAAAATGATGCACATAGTGCGTTACAAGGTCTCCAAATGACCCTCCTCTGGTTTTGAGTTGTCTTTCTTATACTGGTTACCAACCAAGTCTGAAGAGCTCAGTTTATCCTATTATTTAATCCATAGCTAGAGGGAGGCGGAGAGGTTTATAGCATCCTCAAGGACATTGTCTTTCGAACTCAACAGAAATTCGAAGGGTATAAAAGAATTTGTTCTTGGAAAACAATAACTGAGATCATAAATAGCTTGTTAATCTTAACATTTTCAAAAACGAAAGTGCTCTATTTTAATCGTCTGAGAAGCCTCCAGGAGAGTGACACATTGCGACCTCCCGGACATGAAGTAGAAATATTATAGTGAATTAATTGCTAAATCTGCTGCTCTGAAAGTTGGTCCACTATGTCGTGCTATGCATTTTTTCTAACCAGAATCTATCTTACACTTTTATAAGTTTACCATTCGTTCATGCATTGAATATTGCTAGTCAGGTGCTTCTATTATGTATTTATATGCCCCATGCTTTCGAACTTGTGACAGATCTAAGATTCGCTTAGAAAATCAAAGGACTCCTCGACGTGGTGTAATGGCTAGCCAGCTTGTCTCGCTAAATCAGTTACTAGTGAGTTAGAGCCTCACTGGGTGCTTCACACTTTCGGCCGTGTGCCACATCTAAGCTACACTTAGAAATACGTTTGGGCACCTCCTCGTCGTGGTTAGCAA